GGGAGAGGGGTATGGTCTTGATTTGAGGAAGCACATCTCCCTTTTTCTCTTCTCCTGCCTGTTTTCGTGCTCCAATCCTTGTTCATGACCCAGAACAGGCCTGACATGTTGGTGGGGCATTCTGTTGGAGGTAGGCTACCTACTGCTGTCCTGTGCCAATTTGTTCCAAACCAAAGACAGTTTAGTTAGTAATTTGACGAGCCGTTTCATTTGGAGGGCTTTGGTTTCTTGCCTGGGGTTGATTATAGCCAACGCCCCGTTAACCGGTTTCCTTGTGATATAGTGCCAAGCCATCTTTTGTATGTACTTTTTTGTCGGGATCTGCCGACCACAGATAGGAGGTTCTGGCCTTTTCCCATTTAATAATTCCTTGATGGGCTGGTCTGGAATAGTGCAGGTTGATGCGATGTACCACACATTGAGAAAATGGAGGTGTAGATGGTTAATGCTCCTCCTAAAAATGATGTGAAGGGTTGATTCCACTTGCTCATTTGATTGATTTGGCCGGCCAGCAGTGTTGCATACCCCGACGGTCGGCGGCCCTCGACTGGTCGGCCCAAACCGGTCGGGGGTCGTCAGCACCCCGCAAAAAAAAAAGAAAAAAAAGTGTTTTTTGGGTCCGGAACTCCTAATAACCCTACCAACACCCCCATAGCGGCCCCCAATCAGCCCAAACTGCCCCCAGCACCCTCATTACCCCTCCCCCTATACCACCCCTATACCCTCCTATACCCCCCCCCATCTCCAAACGTTTCTCAGCGGATTTGGGCTGTACCCAGCAAGCACAGTACAGCCCCCAACTCAGATTTGAAAAAAACAATATGTGGATGGTTGTTTTCTGACTGGTCGGCAGACTGCAGACTGGTCGGCCCTACTGGTCGGCTGCAATACGGTCGGCGGTCGGGGTCGGCGGTCGGCAGGTATGTAACCCTGCCGGCCAGTAAGTTCTGTGCCATCTTTGGCGCTGGCCCATCCTTCGTGATTTGAGTTCCCAGATACCTCATTGGAGCCTCTGGCCTCTCCCACATCATCTCCCTCTCCGGCCCCTGAAACAGGGGGACCGTCCTTCGGAGAGCCATCATCCCATTGTTTTGACCCAGTTAATGTTCATATCTGATGCTAGCATGGACGAGTTGGAGTTCAGGTCATCCGCGAACATTATTGAACTTTTTTTATTTTTCATGTTCTATTTTTTTCAGGCTTTTGTAATATTCATGTGTTCACATCGGCGGCACTGTTTTGAAATGCAGAATCTCTCGCTCTCTCTCTCTCTCTCTCTCTCTCTCTCTCTCTCTCTCTCTCTCTCTCTCTCTCTCTCTCTGTGTGTGTGTACACTTAGTCGCCTGCCATTTGTTCTGGGTGGTGTTTTTTCTTTTTGTTTTTTCCCTTTTCCCTAAGTGTGCTCCCACCTTTTTTTCCTTTGTTGTCTGCCAGGCTGCCAGTAGTATTTGGGACTCTTTTGGGAAGGCAGCACATTTTCACATTCGCTGCCTGTCCTTACTCAGAACCCGCTAGCGCCTGCCACATTTTTTTGGGGCCCACAGGCCATGCCTCTCCAAACCTCTATCCGCCCTCCTGTACAGGTCTGGTATTTGTTTACAGGTCCGGTGGGTTGGTGGTTTTAACTACCAGATCCTGTACAGGGGTGGTATAATGGTATATTCATTTACAGGGCCCACAGGTCCTTATTCTGAATCTGGTTGTCCCCGCCACAAATTTTTGGGACCCATTGTAGATTCAGCGCTGGTATTCATCTACAAAAATAAGCCCTAGTGCAGGCTCTGGTGGACTGGTGGTTTAACTACCGGATCCTCCTCCTTGGTGTACCGGCACTGATGGATGTGGTAGGCATATATGAGGAGGACAAGAAGACAGCATGGAAAGAGCAGGAGGCGATGCTGACTCCCGCTAGCCACGGAAGCAAGAGTTTATACTAACGTTATGGTAACTTTATACTATATAGTCTTGTTTAGTCTTACCGTGGACTATGTGAGGAACAAGCCCTCAAGGGGCCCTATCAGACATCATATGTTCTGGGGTAAGGCCCCCAGCAAGCTGAGCGCCCGCCCTAAGTGAAGGCGTGCCTGAATATTCGTCAAAGGCCAAAATTCGACACTTTCACATGTGGGTATTCAGGCTCTTGCAGCACGCCAGTTGGTTGAATGGACGCACGAGCCTCACTAAGCTGCGTTGTACAGTTGGCCCAGGCCTTGACAGTTGCGCCTGGGCACATACACACAACGCAGGGCCGAGACGTTGAGAAGCAGGCCATCGGCCTACGCAAAAGCAGTACTGTCGACGCACCTCCCCGGGAGACCTGCACAGATGCAGCAAACAGCCCAAGTCCAGAGACTCAGGCCGTGCCCAACTGTAAATGGGGCCCAGGCCCACAGCGTCCAGGAGGCTGCCACTTCCATAAAGGAAGTAAGGCAGCCCAGGCCAGGCATTCTGGCCAGTGCAGGCAATGCAGAAGTGCTGCTGCGCTATCGCTTGATGCTGCGCTGCTGCCAAGGGCGCTGACGGGGCGCATAGTGGTGAAGTGGGGCGCTGCAGGGCAGCGGGGAGCAGGCAGCCATAGCCGGGCTGCTGGTCGCCAGAGGGTAAGGAGGGCGATCAGGTGGTCTTCAGGGAAGGAGGCGAAGTGTGGGGTAATCAAGGTCTGACTGAGGGTGACAAGATACGTACCTGGTACATGAAGAGAGGTCGGCTATGGTGTTGACAGTCATGTGCATTGGTCTTCGAGAGTCAAAGTGAGCCTGTTGCGTGAACCAGCTGTAGGTAGGATAGTTGGGTAGAGTAGGCTGGGCGCTGGGCGCCGGACAGGGAGGGGCGACTTTGGATACTGTGTTGGTGTGGCCTACGGGCTTGAACATTGGCTCATTACTTTTGTATTGCTCTATATGGATGGTATCTCGACGCATTTTGTACTCTGGTTTGACATGACTACCTGGACATCTGTGTGATTTCGCAACTTGGTTTTCTGTATATCGTTCACACTCATATCCTTTGCAACTACTGCTTCTTGTTTGCAATGTTTGCTCGGTCTGGTCCTGGTCTTGCCCTCAGCACAGGTGCATTTTTCTTTTCCCCTTCTCTGTTTGTCATCAGTGTTTTTTAAGAAAAGAACTCCCAAGATTGCCGGTCATTGCAAGGCGAAGGGTTCTGACGCCCCTGTCACGGTGACTGAGCATGTGTACTACACAGTCCAGATCCTGAACTTTGATTTATGCATGTCCACATCCCGTCTGACCGCAGTTAAGAGAGGAGGGGGGGGGCGAGCATTCAGGGAATTAAAATTTTTCAAAAGTTGCATTCAGGGAATTAAAGTTGCAAGTGGTGGCAGCCGCACTTAAGGTGAATCTCCCCCTCCTTTTTTTTCAAAAGTTGTTTTTCAGTTAAGTTGAAACTTCCTGCGGGCCAGCTCAGTTGGTACGGCACAGAAGTTGCATTCAGGATGTTGTGGGTTCAATCCCCATTGGCCTCACGAACGTGCCTGGGCAAGCTCGTTGTTCTACCAGCTAGAGATAACCCGTGGGGTCCCCAAGCCAGCATTGGCAGGCCCTTGGCTGATGTTGTTGGTTGCTATGCAGCAACAATATTGGCCATTAGACCGCCATGTGGGGTTGGGGGGTAGGGGGAGGTGCAGTGACTGCCATCGCTCGGCACTAGCACCACCGATTTTCCCCATCGGCAATGCCTGCCCACCCCTCGTCGCCGTGACGAGGGACTGGTACAGCATTGCTCTTGCACCACTGCTGTGGTGCCAACCTACCCCGTGGGCTAGGGAGAGATCCAGGTTGGTTGGTGTTCCCCCGTACTATACCTAGACTAGCGAGAGGATGAGATAAATGCATACTACCAAGAAGATGCGATAGATGAGAGAAGGGAAACACCCCCCCCCCCCCCCCCCCCTTTCAAAGTTGAAATGTAATTCAAGTTTCAAAGAAAAAAACAGAAAAAAGTAATTCAAAGCAGTTCTCGAAATTCCTCTTTCACTTGTTTCCGGCCCCCACACCCCCCCCCCTGCCTTTTTTCATGCTAATCTTCTCTGTATCGCTCCAAGTTTAAGGGGTGTCCCGAGGGACTGCTCTTTCATTTGTTGGTTCGAGGGAAGAAGTAGACTCTGTGTCTGTTGAAACCTGGGGCATGGTCCCAGTTGCTTGGATTCTGCAAATCTGAGTCCGCGCTGTTGATCGTGGCAAGTAATTCATGCCTGTAAAAAAGGAACTTGGTAAGCGAGCGAAACCTTACCGCTGAGAATGAAGTTGAACGAACTCTTTTTCATTTACATGTCCCTGTTGTCTCATGCCGCAGTTGTCCCATGTCCCCGGTTGTCCCATGTCCCCGGTTGTCCCATGTCCCGCTTGTCGTTGTTCAACAGGTGGGTGTACAAAGGGCTACTTGATAATGAGATGGAAGTCGCTGTGAAGGTTCTTGCCAGTGACTCCCGACAGGGGATGATGGAGTTTAAAAAGGTGGGTGTGGATTCTGTGGAATGACCGTGTTTTGGAAAGGAAAAAGAGAGCAGCATTATTGCCCGAGGTACGTGGGCTGCCTCAGGGGTAAACTATTTTCTCAATTTACAGTCGTGTCTGATTTCATCATTTGGACTCTAATCATTGGTCGTTTGTCGATCTGTGATTGCATTCTTGATATCTCACCTCAGACTGGGGCGGGCATTGGGGGTATAAATTGGTTTTAAAGGGGCTAACGGGTTTTAACGGGGGTGCCTTAGTCTGATTCTCTTGTTTTCTTTTGCATCGTCAGTTCTGTGAGGAATTCTGATACGACCCACAGCTAAAAGGCGTGTGCATTGCGATTCTACACAACATTTTCGTTTTTTCCGTTTTTTTTTTCTTTTTTCGTCTTTCTTTTGTTTTGTTTTGTGCCGAGTCTGGCCGCAACCCTGCGCAGGGGGGGTCAAGCCCAGCCCAGCACCCGGGCATGTATCTAGGCACAAGTTGGGTTCCTGGAAAAACACCGTAGATTATTCCACTATTTTCTTGTGAGATGTCGATCACAGTCTCCGAGGAGGATGACTTTCCTTCTGAGAATTAAGCTCAAGGTTCAGTTGCTCTTCTGTGGCAGTTGTACTAATTTCCACTCAGCCTCAGTCTGCATTTGTGGAGGTGAATGTAATCGAACTCAGGGTGGATGATTAGCCATAGGAAATTCGCAGCACGCAAAACTGTAGCAGCATCTTGAAGTACCACAAGAAACACATATCAATTATCTCCTCAGTTCCTCTTATCCTCTCCCCTGTGTTGAATTGAGGATAGGGAAAACTTAAGAGAGAGAGAGAGAGAGAGAGAGAGAGAGAGAGAGAGAGAGAGAGAGAGAGAGAGAAAAAGCTAAGACTGTGTAAGAGAGAGAGCTTGCTAAGACTGTAAATAGTGTACTTTTGACTGTACAGGAACTGATGAAACGGAGGGCTGAGAAGCAATGCTTTGAGGATAGGGAAAACTCAACACCAGCCACACACACACACACACACACACACACACACACACACACGCACAGACAGAGAGAGAGAGAGAGAGAGAGAGAGAGAGAGAGAGAGAGAGAGAGAGAGAGAGAGAGAGCTTGCTGAGGCAGTGTAAAGAGTGTACTTCTGACTGTACAGGAACCGATGAAATGGAGGGCTGAGAACAATGCTTTGAAGATAGGGAAAGCTCAACACCGCACAAAGTTGGAAGACTATGGGTGGCCTGGATGTATCCCGGAAAATTATGCATATCACAGTGGAGGCAATTCACGAAGAGATATTTCTTGACGGCAGCCATGCCTTTCAGCCCGTTAGAGGCTTCAAAGGAGCAGCTGCTCTTACTCTTGAGGTCCTCCATGATGTAGGAAGCAATGTAGGAAGCAGAAAAACACCAAATGTGGACCATTGAAGCTGACCGGGCTTTACTCGTTTTTGGGCCTGGGCCCCAGCCCTGCCAGCCCCTCTTCTGTCTGCTGCGAGGCCCTTGTCTCCTCGCTCGTACTGTTTTTTAATCCAGGGTGAAGCTTGCCGTAAGATTTCGGAACCATGCCCGTCATTGTCTCCCTTCCCGCCGGCCTACCGTCTTCACCCGAATAGAACGCCTGGTCATTATCGCTGCATCTGGACCGAAAGTTGTTCCATATACAGCTATAATGACCGGGCGTTCTATTCGGGGAAGACGATAGTTCTGGTGCTTTCTGTTAGCTCAGGTGGTGTCTGACCCTTAGTTTTTTTTCCTTTTTTTCTGTGGGAGCTTGATGAGACTGCTTGTCAGAAAGCTCATCTTTCTGATGATCGTATTATTAATTTATTATTTTCAAAAGTTTCTCTAAACAATGAACTCAAACGAGATGAAGTTGCATGAAGTGATCTGGTTCATTATGAAACGGTTTTCACCTTTCTGCAGTCACAGATGCAGGCCCTAGAGTTCGATCCCCAGACCTCACCTTACCCATGTACAGTGTCGAGCTGACCCCGAGTGTTTGAGCCCACGACCTGTGTTTCGGTAGTTGTTTGTTGTCTGTCGTAGGTCTGTGTAGATGTCGGGGCTCCATCTGTAGGTCTGTCAAGTAGGGGTCATAGTTGTGTAGAGGCCGTAGCTGTAGCGTTTCTGAAAGGTCAAGGTCGTAGCTGCTACAGTCCTGAAACGTCAAGGTCGTATCTGCTACAGTCCTGAAAGGCCAAGTCCATAAACTTTCGGAAGGTCCGGAAGTGGCCTTTCAAGTTTCTTCTCACGTTTTACACAGCATGCCAGAGGCAAGTGGGCAAGTGGTGAGTCCAACTTCGCTTAGTCAGTGGTACCCAGTCCCAGTCTCACTTTGCACCGTCAGCAAGTACCATGAGGGACTGTGTGCACCTTGGGCCTGGTGGAAAAGTCAGACCAACGACTTACCGAAGTATAAATAAGGAGGCAGCGCCCAGCCATTATTCATTCGCTGCGTAAGCCATGTGGAAGTGCTGCTACAGCGTCTTGTGCGAAGCTGGTCTGCAGGTTGCCCGAAGACGAAGTGGGCTGAAGAGCGAGATCGTAGCCATAGTCAGTAGGGGTAGAGCGGCCATAGCCGCAATAGGGAGAAGATAGGTTTAGTGTGTGTGTGGTGGTATTCAGGGTGATCCAGAGTTGTGTATGTGCGAAGGGTGGTGTTAGACACAGTAACGAGAGTTGAGTGTGCAGGCACCGAGGCGCCATAACTTGTCGAAGTGATTTTGCATCTGAACTGTGTTCTCGTTTTCCATATCTCTGAGCTTTGAGTGGGCGAACTGCACCAAGTGTGAATCGCCATCTGTATGCATGTATGCGAAGTGGAAAAGAAAGCGAGTCTGATTGCAATTACAATACGATAAATAAAAAAGGAGGCGTGAGTCTGAAGTTTGTGCATTATGTAATGACCCGCCAAAAACACAGACTGAGAACACTGCTGGTTTCTGGGATTTGCCGCTGGAATGAATGCCTTGCTGAAGTTCCCGCATTCTGCTGTGATTTCCATGTCTGTGTGCGTGTGCGTGCCTGCTGGTTTGCATGCCTGTCTGAGTGCTTGTCGGCTGAGTGTGTGTGACCCGCAAGGGTCCTTGTTGGTTGAAAGGCCCCGCAGGGCCGGTAACCTGTGGCCATGACTGTGAAGGGTTGCAGGGGGGAAAACACTCGAGTAGCGGGGGTAGGCCCGCAGCACTTAGAGCAGAGGGGAAAAACACTCAAGTAGCAGGTAGGCCGGTACCACTGAAGGTGGGGTAGAAGTGTCGGATACTGGAGGCCGAGCAGAAGAAGGCAAAACGTTGGCATTTTTAGAGGCCCAGTAGCGGTAGGCTAGAGGTAGGCCGGTACCAGTCCAAGTAGCCCGGGTCTAGGGCCTGTACGGAGGTTAGCAGAGCCTGCAATGATGTTTCCCTCTGAAAGGGAGGAGGTACCGGTTGCTGGGAGGCCGCTCGGCCTAGGAAGTCACCGCCCAGGAGGCCAGTAGGCCGCTATATCTTTCGGAGGAGCAAGTAGCTCCTCCGAATTTGCGGTATGCAAGGATTGGCGACATGCTGCTGGAGCGCAGCGCTGGCTGATACAGCGCTGCTTGGAGGTGAAGGGCAGCTGGAGCTCAGCCTGGCTATGGCAAGCAGTCCAGCTTGAGGAGGAGGAAGAAGGGGGCGAAGGAGGAGTGGCGAGGCACTTACCTGGCTATGGTAGACACCATCTTCATCACCTTGTTGGGCGCTGCATCTGGAAGGCCCCAGTTGGGGTAGTGCTGCACCAAGGAAGCTCGAGGCAGAGCTTGGGATGGCGGACTAGTCAGTAGCAGCAGCATAGCTGCTTTGGGTTGTCCTTTGCACAGGAGGGCAGGCCCCTCAGTAGTCCGCCATAGCCTATGCATGTGTGAAGAGGCAGGAGGAGGGAAGCCATAGCTATGGTGGACTTGTTGTTATTGTTGTTGATTGAGTCAGCAGTAAGAGGGAACTTCGGATATTGATTCTGGTTCATCCATTCATTGTTATTATTATTATTGAGAGAAGAATAAGATTGGCGAAGTGAAGGAGGAGGAGGAAGGTGGAGAGAGAAGGGGGAATTGTCATTGGTCTTGCTGGTGTACATCTTCTTCTTCTTCTTCTTCTACTTTCTCTCTCTCCTCCGGTCTCTATCTCTTTGCAAGTGCTTTCATTTCTTTCGCAATTGGGTGGCATTGTCTTTCATTCTGAATTTGCACTTTGGGAGTGACCAGGATCGTAACAATTGGTATCGGAGTGGACTTGCTTGCTGGCGAGAGGTGTTAGTCACCCTAAACCTAATTCCGAATTAGGTTAGGGCTAACCTAATCTCGGATTAGGGAAGTTAGGGTTAAGTGAGGCAGTGAGGTATGAGGATATTGCCCCCGCCTGGTTAGGTCATGTAGGGTCGACATCAGACCTGACCAGGTTGCTTGAGTGATTGGATGGGGTGGCGAGACACAGAGGAGGCTGATTGGAGTAAGCGAGAGGGAGTAGAGAGTGAGAGGTACTCGCACCTGGAATCTGCACTTCAAGAAGACATTGAGTGACTTTTGGGCTTCCCCTCAAGAGGGAGACTTGATCAGAGGCTGCCATATCTGCATCGAAGAGCTGCAAGTTCCTACTTTGGTCTTCAGACATCGGCGGGGGATCCGGCGTTGCAACAGGGGTGTAGGAAGGCCCTCTTAGTCATGCTAGGACACTTCGTGTAGTGGTAGCTAGGGGTCAGGAGGACTTATGAGAGAGGGGGGTGAGTCGTTATCCATCTTTGGAGGCCGGGCCTCACAGGTACGTGCCGTGTGACCTGGTTAGCCCGTGGGAGGTTGCTTGGTGCTTCATGGCCTGTTGGGGTGTGCTGGGCTCTCTTCCTCTTCTCTGCAGTCGTGGCTGTGTGTGTGAGCATGTGGATTGCTTTCTCACCTGATGGATGGATGGATGATGTATCTGTTCTAAATGTTATATTTTTCTACGGTGCATTGTCTTTTCATTTCTGAACGGCTGTAGGGGTGAGTTCTTGTTAAA